CCTGGCTCACAGGCTTGCTTGCTACGGCAATCGTTCATACGTACAGAACTTGTAGTTGAAACAGACCATCTGATTCGACAATGCATTCAGAGCCATTGTAATCCGAGTCAAAGATACTGTGTTTTGCAGTTCCAAAGACTTGATCTCTACTACACCCAAACGCACCAACAGCGGGGGGTGTTTGTATGCACATCAAAGTACAGCAAAAAAAGGTATATGGACAGGCATGAAACATACTGAATATAGCCTTCAGGAGAGAGCATATCCAATCTGAAAGCACGGCCGTGCAAAAGAAAATGTATATGGAGAAATGGTGAAGAAAATGCCCAAACGCTTGCTTGCCAAATCACTGAATTCGATACATACATCAACCGTCATCTTCATCGTAAACACCTCTAAAAAGTTCATGTGCTGTACACAGGGGCCTTGGTCAAAACTGTCTTGCCACGAATCTGCACTGCAAGTCCGACAGCCAAGCGTACACGGGGTGGTGTAGACTCGTCTTTCGTACCAGTGGAGCTGCCTGGTGCGTTCTGTGTCAGACTCTGCTGACTACCTCCTTGACCAAGAGAAGATTCTCGCTTGCCGAGGGAAGCAGGAGTGACTCCTGCCTTCTTGGACGTGGCGAAACCAAACATGCTGCGTTTCTTGTCCTCTTTGGACGTCTGACCAACCTGCGGTTGAATTTGATCTTGCTCTGCGACGGAGATGCCATCTTCTGGCTTCGATGCCATGCTTCTGATAGAAATTCTGTCAGCATCATCCAGCTCGACTATGGGAGCTGTTAAGGCGGGTATGCCGGATTCCAGCTTCATCAAGTCGTTCACGATGCTGTGGCCTGGCGGGAAGTACTCAATTTGCACTTCTCGGCTTTCTAATGGCAAATGTTGGGCAATACTGATAGCAAGCTCAATGATCATTGGAACACCTCCATTTAGGTCCGGAGGTGCGGGATCATTCAGGTGAATCTGAATAGATGCGATCAATTTCTCATTGAGTGTTTCAGTCAATTTCTCTCGATACGTAGTCGCCTGAGGAGCTTTCAGAGTATCCGCAAGGCCTTCTATTGTGGCAAGCCGCCAGTTGACGATCTTCGCAGCAAGCGACTCTTCATCTTCTGCACTATGGCAAGGGGGCGAGAACTTCCGGATGTTCGACACAATCGACTGCAATTGTGTGGAAAAAGCTGGCTCGAGATCCGGATGAAAGTATTTATCGAATATGTTCTCCACTAGCCATTGAGAGATGAATGCACGGCCGACTGCAGTCATTTCCTGCTTACCAGTTTCCACAGCTGTCTTGTTGACTACTGGGTGCAGCCACTGTGGTATTGACTTCCAGTCCTTGCGAATGGAAAAGGACAGTTGTGCTATTAGCCCGTCTAAGCGGTTGAAGCGGGTAGAATATTCACTGTCGTCCCATGATGTGCGCGAAACAGATAAACGCTGGTTTGCAAGAGTGTTCTGCAGTTGGTGGACTTGGGTTTGTTGTTCGAAAAAGTATCTTTTGACCTTTTGGTATTTTTCACCTGCAGCCTGTCAAACGCAATGATCTCTCTGTTGGAATATCGTACTTACGTAGAACATCATGATCCTTTATTATCTTTTCAATCTCCTCGTCGGTCATTTCGGACGCAGATGCGCGGGGTGGAGGTGTCGCCCGCCCCATTTCTGAGCCTTGTTGACCTTGCTTGTCAGCTCGATATGGTTGACCTTGGGAGGCTGTAGGTACGACGGTAGCGTCGAACGTTGCGAGGCCTGGAGACACAGGCGGCTGACCGAAAGTCTGGCCTTGACCGGACGGGGGCTGGAGCTGAGATGACTCTTGCGACGGTGCTCCTGGTTGTGACTGGCTACTCTCGTTCACTTTCCTCACAGTGGTTCTGCTATTGCCCTGAGCACTTGGTGTCATACCCTCCTGCCCTTGCTGATGCGATGCGCTGTTCAGTGAATGTAGCTCCGAAGATAGAGGGTGCTTTCCCTGCTGCGATTCGTTGTGTTGGTAGGGCGTGGGCTGAAGAGGTGACGGCGGGGCAAGCTGATGGGACGAGGGCGGTCGGCGTTGTTGAGACTGCTGTGGCTCGATTGACTGCTGTACAGTCTGAGGATGGTGCTGTCGTATGGCTTGTGGGTGGTGCAGTTCGGTCTGCAGTTGCGCGATCGGCAGAGCAGTCTGAGGCTGGCGCTGCTCTGGTTGGGGCTGAAGCTGAGATGCAAAGTGAGGCTGCTGCTGCGGATGATGCAGACTCTGTGGAGAATTCTCTAGCGACGATTGGTTATGCGCTGACGGAGGCTGTTGCTGTTGCTGTTGCTGGTACTGGTAATAATTCTGTTGAATGTCTTGTACTGGAGCCCCTTGCCCATGCGGCTGAGTGGTCTGGGACAAAGAGCTTGGCGCGTTTTGTGGAATGTACGACTGAAAGTTGCCCGACCCCGTTGAACCCTGAGTAGAGGGCTGGTAGCTGTGCTGTGGCTGCTTGCGGTGAACTTGCTGTTGTTGCGTTGGCTGTTGTTGTTGCTGCTGTGGACCTTGACCTTGGTGTTGCTCGGAGCCGTACTGATCTACCCCGCCTTGGGTCGAATAGCTGCCCTCTGTGCTCACCCTGCCAAGTGGGGGCCGAACGTAGGGTTCCTGATGCAACTGCGCACCAAAAGGCTGAGTGTGTTGCAAGTTTTGCTGATATTTGGAGTCTTTGGGAGGTACTTGAGGGGACTCGTCGCTTTCCTGCTGGAGAAACGGATCAAGGTTGTCCTCGTCTTGCTCTCGCGACGGGGGCAAGTGGGAAGAGGACCCCTGGTGCTGCTGCTGCTGCTGCCAATGCTGCGGGCGGCTCTCTGCCTGTGCGTGATACTCGTGCGCCCGAGGGTCGCTTTTCCGTACCGACTGTCGCCTGCTTAGGCCGTTCTTCTGAGCCTTGGGTTCCTCGTCCTTGTGTCCTCTAACGCCAGCTGCAATGCGACTGCGCAGAGACTGCTTCTTATTTTCTGGGCTGCTGTATGCAGGAGGAGGAGAATGAGGCTGGTAGGGGACGTGGTTTGGCGACTCGTGGCCTGCCTGAGATGTAGGCGGCGTGCTAGGCTGTTGCTGGCAGTTCTGCGATGGCTGGCCTAAGGAGAGATGTGCACTCAGTCTGTGAGTTGCATTTCGCAACGAGTGGTATTCGCTGTATTGGCCCTGGGAACTTCCAGAAGAGGTCGGTGGTTGTAGAGAAGGCTGCTGGCTATGGACAGACGGTTGATGGGCGTCGGAGGCCTGGTATCGCTGGGCTGCCGCGGCTTGGTCGCTGGCTTCCTTTGCAGATGGCACAGGTGATTGATCCCTTACGGCGTTATCGACAGAGTGGTGCGACCGGTTCGACTTTGTCCATGGAAAGTTAGGCATTGCAATGATGACAGCTCCAAGCTCCGCCGCGAAGTAGGTTGATGATGGCGGGGCGGAAGGTGATGCGCCCAGCTAATAATAAACCAAGCCTGAGCAACGGTTGACCTAGGCGATGATTGCACCCGAACGAGACAGCATTGCGCGCGGTTGGACAGCTGTCTTGAAAAGGATGGGATGGGCTACATAGATGCGCGTCTTCCGCCATCAGCCCCAGCCCTGCCCGCACGTGCAGGGCTGACGAGCAAATGAAACCAGATGCAGGCGCGAGTCCCAATCCCGGTGCAGCTAACTGCACAAGGAGATGCTGATATGGCGGCGGTGGCAGTGCTGACGTCCCGCGATGCTGCTTTGGTAGTCTACCACAGGCATGTTACTGTGCTACGCCTCTTAGTCGCTTTCAAAGTGTACTAGGTGAACGCTGTAGTATCATCATTTGTCATGGCGGATGCAACGCACGACAAGTACGCCAAGTGGGGGAACAGTTCACGTCTGTAGATATCTATGGGCCCAGTGGAGATTCTGCCTCGAAGAGACACCCAGCCTTGCACTCAATTTCAGCCTGCTATCTTGTTACCGAGGGTATATAGCATACACGTGCTATTTTCCCACGAGAGATGTAGTAATTCTCCTCAGGTTTGCCCATATTCATCACCACCAAATCTGATCAACCCCACAATATCTGACAGCCAAACACAATAGCACATCACCCAAACTCGACTTTCCAAAGTCCCATCTCACATATTTTAGCCTCGGCCCATGTCGGTCCTTTGACGCGCAGGATCAGCTCGACGCCCGGCTGTTCCTAACGCTGCGTAGTCAACAAAGCGGCCCTTGGTAGTATACCAGGCGTCCACGATCAGGCCGCCAGCCTGAGTCAACTCAAAAGAAACCGCTACCATCTTCTGCACAAAGTAAGCAAAAAGTATTTCGACAGCTTGACGTCGCAAGGCGGGGGGCTTGTTTGACCATACCTTACTCTTACCATTCGCTACAACATCACGTATCGCGCGCTATGTATGTAGCAAGTAAGTATGGTAAGTACGGCACCAATCGGATCTTTGCCTCGATTTTACGCCCTCCATGACATGTCTCTGGCTCATGTTTCCCCCTGCTGCTCCACAGTCAGGCCCCAGTCTACTCTATTTTCGGCCGCCGGACGTGTACTAGCTTTATTTGCGATATTCCATTTGCTAGGCATCTGCAATATTACTCCATCATCTTCTTACATAGCCTTTAGTGCTGCATTTGGTATTAGATACTTGCTCACCATACTTCGTCACTCTGACTACTAGATTCTATCTGGGCTTCACAATTGCATCGGTGGTTTTTAATGACTAAAAAAAAGGAGCTTGTGGGGTTTTCAAAAGGAGTGCATGTGTAAGTCAGAGCGGTTATGCACGCCTCCTTCAGATTGTTGCCTCGAAAAAACCAACACATGCAGCATTGCGGCGTTGGGCAAGGAACGCCGCAACAATATGACATCGCGCAGCGCTTCCTAATCAGCCTTGCGTTCTCACTACATCGTCAAGATCAAGGAAGAAAAGGTCCAGTGTCAAACATGGTATCATTTCCTTTGTAGAGAAAACATGACTTCGTAAATCAAAAGGTTGATGTACATATTACTGAGCTTCTTCAACATAACCCAACGCCTCGCCGACCTTAACTTTTTGCCCTTGTTGAATATTCCAGTGGAACCCACCTTTTCTCTCGCCACGCGTACCACTGAAGCCTTCGTCCAGACTAGGTCGGATACCCTTCGGCGCTTCAAAGACCAAGACAATCGTACTGCCCAACTGGAAGCCACCCATTTCCTCGCCGCGCTTGAGTGCGTACCCTCCCAGGACACGGCTTGCGCTCGTGTAGGAAGCTTCAGCGAATCCAGAATACGGCTCACCACGGGCAGCGGCTTCTTCCGCAGCACGGTCCGCCGCAGTGTCGGTCGTCAAACTGTTTGTGCGTAGTTCGCGGTCAAAGTTAATTTTGATGGAACCAACGTTAGTTGCACCGACTGGAGTGTAGGAAAAGAAACCCCAGCGCCATCTTCCTAGGAGAACGACACGTTCGTTCAAGGTAAAAAGACCGGGCATAGTGCGTTGTAGGTAGGGGGATACACTGTAGAGCTCGCCGGCAAAGTGACGGCGCGACTCAACGACCCATGATACAGGTGAGTGGAACCGGTGGTAGTCGCCTGGCGCAAGATATACAACGCAGTAGTAGAGAACCGTAGGTGTCTTTAATGAGGCGGGCGCCCACCATGGGCGCTGTGATTCACTCAAAGCAAGGTCGGCACGTACTTCGGCTTCCGACGATGGCTTTGAAGGAACTGACTGATCCGTCGGCATTTCAGCAGGCTTTCCATCCTTTGGCCATGGTCCGGAGAAAAGGTTTGGTAGAGTGTATGAGATGCCATTCACGTTTGCAAATTCCTCATCCGCGCGCACAGTGTCTTCTTCGTCTTGTGGTGTTTTCTCGTGCTCACTAGCGCGAACTTGGGAATTTGCCACATTTTGCTCTGGTGTACTGGGTCTTGTAGATCCTAGCAGAGCATCCAAACTATATGTCACACCCTTGACTTGCTCGACTTCGCCGTGCTCGATGGTGCCAAATTGAATGATTTTGCCGTCTGCGGGAGAGAGAACTGCGTTGGGGTTGGGGTCCAGAGGACGTACCCCGGGTTTGAGGGTGCGGTAGAAAAAGGCGGCGAGGTTGGGGTATACGTGTAGATCTGGTTCCGAGACTTCGGAGAGACTAGTAAAAGTTAGATACAGGGTCGATGATGGTTATTGGGGTGACTTGCTTGACACCGAAGATCCAAGAGTATAGCTTGAATCCAGGTACACGAAGGTAGTAGGGTATGTCGATCTCATTGAAGCGACCCCACAGTCGCGACAATGCCTTGAGAGGAAGGGTGGACATGACTTGAACGGTCCATGGTCCGCTCGGTCTTATTCTCTCGCGCTTCTTCGGACGACCTTGCTGGTCCACCACGTTGCCATCCGCATGCCTTCTCTCGGCTTCTGTATGCTTTTCTCTGCGTTGTATGCGATATAGCTGGAACGCACCCAGGAAACCAATGCCGAGTGCAATTGGTATTGGCTCCCACTTGACTTTGGTGTTCTTGAGTGCAGAATTGAGCCGCGACCTGAAAGACTCTTTCCTGTGGAAATTTTGTTCGCTATATGACGCTCGGGTCGAAGTGAATGTGCGAGAGGGGGCAGAGAGGCGCGCATGTGGGTGTGTGGGTATATTGAATCGCGGACGGATGGAAGCTCGCATGAGCTGGCGCGAACAGGGAGTCGCCATGTTTACGATGCATGCATTTGCGATTTCTACCTTTGTTTTCTCGGCCACATCAAGATGAGGGGATTCGCAATGGCAAGGCGGGAAGATGACGGCGAAGGCGTCGCGTGGTGTGGGAAAATCCACTTGAGCGGCTAACCCATGACGTACCCACTGGGGAGGGCTTAGCGCCGTTGCGGCCGTGGGTTCGGAGGTGTTTCCACGAGCATCCAACACTTACTGTCGCATCACATGCGCATGTCGTGAAGACGTCTTGAACATACAAGGGTAGGCGGCGGAAAGTCGCATCTGTAATACCCAGGGCTTCGGCAGGACAGCCTGATAAACTCTTCCTCACTGCACATGGCAACCGATGTTGTAGTTGACGGCGAATCCGGAGCTTTACTCTAAAACGCAACGTATACAAACACGTCGCCCACTCCCAAACCGAGAACCTTCTATCGCTCTCACCATAGTCGCTGCTGCACATGGAAGGCATGACGGACGCAGAGCAGACAATCAACCTCAAGGTCCTTTCGCCTTCAGCCGAACTAGAGGGCGGCATTACCCTCGCGGGCCTCCCCGCTTCCATCACGGTCAAAGAGCTCCGCAGTCGCATACACGATGCTGTGCCCTCCAAGCCTGCTCCCGAGCGCATGCGCCTCATATACAGAGGCCGAGTGGTAGCCAATGATGCAGATACTCTGACTACCGTGTTTGGCGCCGACAATGTAGGTTGCTACTATGGCCAAGTAGGTGCTTGCTTGCTAATCAGAACCATAGATACGTGAGAACAAGGACCAAAGCCTTCACCTCGTCATACGAGAACTGCCCCCAACTGCATCTTCTCCTGTTCCGCAATCGTCTTCTGTCCCACCTCACCTCTTCCGCTCTGCAGTTCCAGATGGCCCAGCCGCGAGCCCTCTGCAGACGAATCCATTCCGGGCTATACCACAGACACGACCGGCTTCACAACCTCAGATGCCCCAGCCCCACCTCCCCCCTCATCGCCTTCCGGGACAAGTGAACCCCATTCCCATACCGTTACCCGCACAGCTCCATCAAACATTTGCTCAAGCAATGGCACAGCCAGGACAGCAGGATGATGAACATCCTTCAGATCGAACTGGCGAGCAACCAGATCAAGGCACACAGGTAGCGGGAGACAGGGCGCATACACCAATTCCTTCAGGAACATCGAATTCTCCTGGGAACGGCGACCAAGGGATCAGACGAGATGGCATTGCGCCTAATGGAGCACGATGGACAGTTACGACCTTTAACCCACTCAACATAGCTGCGCGACTCCCGCCGCCTGTCGTTACTTTCCCTGTCCCGCATGCACTAGCCTTCGGTCGTCCACCACTCTCTAGCGAGAATCAGCGGTTATTGCCTCGTGTTCACAGGATCTTCTTGGAGACAAAACGAGAGATTGATAACATTCGAACATTGTTGCAACTGCCGGGGGCCTCTGATGCACAGAGTGGAGGGCTCCTCACCTCAGATCTACCTTCCTCGTTGAGTATTCCTGCATGGCGAATCGAACGACTTCGTCAGCACCTGAACACAGTCAACCAAAATCTGGATGTTGTTGACCGGGCTCTGACGTTGCTTCCTACGGAGCCTGAAGTGACGGCACTCAGGCGCTCAGCTACTGAGTTAAGGGTTGATGCTGCGGAATTGAGTATTGTGCTCGATCGTCAAGAGGGCGAAACGGCCAGGTCTACTTCAGATACAGCACCAGGGGAGCCCATGATAGCTGCGGCAGCGTCAATTACATCACAGGCCCGAGCAGGAGATTCGGCACACACTGTACCGACAGATGCGCCTGCAGAGCTGTTCCTTTTGTCAAGTCCCCAGGGTCCGGTCGGAGTTCTCTTCGATCAGCAGGGCACATACACCACAGCCCCAATGGTGCCCACTCTACCATTCCAGACTTTCTCGAGTCAATTTGCACAGAACAGACAGCTCATTACTGGTCTTGGACAGCAAATGGCACATGGGACAAACCAGCTGCATAATCAGCTAGCTAACATGCAACCAACACCAACAGCTCAACCAATAGCTGTTGGACAGGCTCAAGGTCAGGACCAAGGTCAGAATCAAAATCAGAACCAGAATCAGAACCAAAATGATGATCAGAATGGGCTGCAGCCAGAAGAAAACGATCGGATGGCTAACATCGCCGGACATTTGTGGCTGATCTTCAAGCTCGCTGTCTTCGTCTACGTCTTCGCCGGAGGCGGTGGTATTTACAGGCCTGTAATGCTAGGTGCTGTTGCTGGCATCGTCTATTTGGCACAGATTGGTATGTTTGAGGATCAGATCAACTACGTACGCCGTCATTTTGAAGCTCTTCTTCCTGTTGGCGCTATGGCCGAACGCGCTGCGCAGCCCGTCAACCAGCGCCCACGAGGCAACATATCGCCCGAGGAAGCAGCAAGGCGAATATTACAACAAAGACAAGAACAAAGGTTCGCCTGGTTACGTGAAAGCTTGCGTGGAGTCGAGCGCGCTTTCACTCTCTTCGTTGCCAGTCTATTCCCCGGTGTAGGCGAGAGAATGGTCCACGCACAGGAAGAGAGAGAGAGACTGGAGAGGGTGGCAGCACAGGAAGAGAGGCAGAGGCAGGAAGAGGAAGCTAGGAAGCGAGAAGAAGACGCCCGAGCACAGCAGCAACAGCAGACCGACGAGAAAGCTAGTGAAGTCAGGGTTGAGATGAACAGTGAGGCTACTCCAAGTAGCAGTTCAAAGGGCAAGGAGAGGGCTGAGGAGCAATACGCTGAAGGTTCAGCATCAGCTTCGTGAGGTAGCGAGAGGTATACTTTCTTTCGTATATGTTTATAGGTTTTCGGGTTCCGCTCATCACATGGCACCTTTTTGTACACATTGCAAGACGAGCAGAGTCGATTAGTTATTAGCGGTATTCTATGACATGCTCTGCTAAGGAATTTCATCAAGTATCTATTAAGTACATACCGGAAGCTGAACATGACACGATGCACAAAATGAACCTTTCTGAATCCCTATTTCCCCTCCCATACACCCCCTCGTCCGTTCCATAAGTATTTAAGCAAAAAAAGCAAAAACGCTATTGATAGATCCCTGAGGGACCAAGAGCCCATTCAACACCCTGTGAGTATCGTACCACCAACCTGCTCGTCTGACAAATGACGACATCAGCAGTAAAGAAAGGGGTTCGTTACTGCACAGTACATGTCTCCTTTTTGGTACCGAGCTGCAAAAAAGCAAAATAGACGCGTGTGAGCAGCAACAAGGGTGCGGGAATCTAAGGTAGCATGTGCGTACGTTGAACCCTGGTTTGTCCAGCTGCACGCTTGCATATGGTGTTGGTACCGAGCTGGACGGCGGGTGTATCTACCACACAAACGAAAAGAGGGTGACGACAACTGGCGTGATGCGGAACGGCACGGCACGGGGAAGCTAACTGGGGCGCAGTCGAGCGACGTGAGTGAGCAAGGTGGCACAGTGTTAGGATGAGATAGTGTTGGAGAGAAGAGTATCATCTATTCATTCAAAGCATTATCATTACTGGCCAAGCGTGGAGACGACCCTGCAAGAAACGATAGCGACGACACAAACGTCCCCCCAAATAAAAAACGACAAAGAACAAAGGGATATCGAATGCGACCCTCGGGAAACATCCCTCGGTACAGATTTGAGAAGTAAAGAACAACTAGCCACCCAGGCAAGTGAAAAAAAGTGGAAAAGAAGGTTGAACTGTTTTCTTTGCGTTTTTTTGTTCACCAGCGACGACGCAGACCAGAGTCACCAGGGAACAAGATGCCATTGGGATGGTACTTGTAGCGCCACGACCGCCAGTTAGCACATGTCCTGTGCATCTCTGCGTATCCATCTTGGGCCTTGATTTCCGATTCGCGCTCGAGGAACTGGACGCCGAGACCGGCGGCAACGTGGAAGGGGATGTGGCAGTGCATGAGCCATGCACCAGGGTTGTCGGACTCGAAAGCAAGGACCAGGTAGCCTCCAGCGGGAAGATCAGCCGTGTCCCGGCGGATAGGGTTGTCCGTCTTCAGGGTCGAAATATCTCCGTTCCAGACTGCGTTCTCGACCTGTGCGAGGACGTAGAAGTCGTGGCCGTGGAGGTGGATGGGGTGAGGAAGTGGTGGGTTGGAGCTGTTTTGTTGAATGACCCAGTATTGCCACTGGAGCTTTTATTAATACCCAGTAAACAGCATTAGGTAGAACAGACGACTTACTTGGTGTTTCTCGTCGACCGCAAACACGTGGCGGTTGTTTCCGTAGGTAACATTGCCATCCAACACCGACTGCAAGGTAGGGACTTCAAGATCAACTCCCATGGGATTACCGTTGACGAGCCACTGTACTAAACCCTGATTCTGCGTCACATCGCTAGTCCAGTTAGGGTTGAAGCCCACGCTCAGCTGTTCAGGCATCTCCTGAGGAACAGTCGTCTTGGCATAGGGTACAACATTCTCATCGTAGCAGCCCGATGGAAGTGAACCAGTCGTATCTGGGTCTTCATTTGGAGCACCGGCATATCGGAAGATACTCCTGATATTTGCCGCATTGGCATTGGGACCATCGCATCTACCGCCAGTACCAACACGCAGCCAGTAGTTGCCCACAGCTTCAGTTGCATTGATGATAACTTCATACCGTTGACCTAGCGACGCTGTTAGTGAAACATTCATCAACAGTGGCTCTTCCGACCACATTCTCGTGGCCGGGGTGTCGTCACACAGCACGATGTTGTGCTAAACAAAAGGGGTTTGCATGTGGACACAACTTCGGTTCAACTTACCGACTGCAAGGACCAAGCTGTCCGTGTAGAAGGGTTCGATGGGCGTGAAATCGGCCGAAATGACCTGGAACTGATGCCCATCGAGGCCGACATGAAGGTAGTTGTTGATACCAACATTCATCAAACGCAGCAAGTGAGATTTTCCTGGAGTTAGGATTGTCTCGGCGTACTTGCCGCCAAAAGATGAGGTCATGGAGCCATTGACAAGGACATTGTC